TCAGGGGCAAAAAAAAAAAAAAAAAAACAAAACTTAAAAAGTCCCCCCCCCCCCCCAGGTGAACATGGTTATCCCGGCAGGGTGTGTGATAATGGTTCTGAGTGCACAGACACAGTCTGCTTAAGAGCGTAATAGCAAGGACCGTACTGACCTCAGATCAGCAGGGGTGCCATTAAGAGACTATCATTAGAGAAGGGCAGCTTGGCTCTGGACTCCACAATAAGCTAGCAGCCCTGAAATGCCTCTTTTGATTGTGTGATTCATACAGTAGCGGTGTCAAGGACAGCTCACTAGGTCCCAGTGAGAGCGGCTTAAATGATAAATGAAGGGGCAGTGACTCCACAGAAGCGTTCTCATCTTCACTTAATGTTAAGTCCATTGACTCAGTACTTGGGAATGTGATTTTCAGTGCGTAACACTCACAATGAGTAGCTATTGTTTTTAAAGGGATAGTTCACTCAAAATTCTAAAATTCTATAATTTTTACTCACCCTCAATGTCATTCTAAACCCATATGCTGTTGCAAATAATTTTGAAGAACCTTTAAATTTATTTCCACACAATGGCAGTTCATAGTGACCACAGCTATAAAGATTTTTTTTATATATAAGAATATATTTAGGATTTTATATGCTCAAAAAGGCTGCATTAAAAAAAACATTGAAATACAGTAAAAACATTGTGCAACATCATTACAATTTAAAATAACTGATTTCTGTTTTAAATATTAAAATGTACAGTGGGGCAAAAAAGTATTTAGTCAGCCACCAATTGTGCAAGTTCTCCCACTTAAAAAGATGAGAGAGGCTTGTAATTTTCATCATAGGTATACCTCAACTATGAGAGACAAATCTGTGTTTTCCTTTTTTTGCCTTGCCTGTTTTTGTGGTTTCTGATCTTTGCCTGTTTTCCTGGATTTTCCCTCTCGTCTCGCCCCTGTGATTCTGTATGCCAATCGGAGACCTACGCTAGCCCTAGGACTATTCTTGTGTTTTTGCCTGCCATATACCTGTTTGCCATTGTTCGACCCTGCCTGTTATACCACGTCTCTTGAATAAAAGCTTGCAGATGGATCCACACGTCTCACGTCTCGTCAGCCCCGTCACAGTATTTTATTGCTGTGATGGCAAAGCTGAATTTTTAGTTTCATTACTCCAGTATTTAGTGTCACATGATCCTTCAGAAATTATTCTAATATGCAGAGTCGGTGCAATAGAAAAATTTATCATTATCAGCAATGCTGAAAAAAAGCTGCTTAATGTTTTTGTGGAAATTGTGATTTTTTTTTTTTCAAGATTTTTGTTAAAAAGAAAGTACTAAAGAACAGTATTTATTTAAAATATATATATTTTTTATATTGTAAGTATCTTTACTGTTACTTTTGATCAATTTAAAGCATTCAAGCTGAATAACTATAGCAATTTCATAAAAAAAAAGAATGGTGTATATACAGTCAAAATATACACAATATACAATGTTGTAAATATATTTTGACTTGAATGGCAGTTCATTTAGATGTTACCACCCAAAGCAAATTTTACTTTATTTGTTTGTTTTTTGCCATATTTGATTTGAAAGTGAATCTTGATGTGAAGTAATTATGAAGATAAGTAATGACTTGCTACTTACATCCATAGCAATTGTATGGCCTTAGAAAGTTTGGATATAGTGCATCATATGGATCGTATGGATTTATTTGAACATATTTTGGACTAGGCAGATGAAATTCTAAACTCTCATTGTATCAAATTCAACAAAATTTCTAATTTCGTGTCCCACTACAAAAAACAACAGCAAAGAGGTTTGGAGCAACATGAGGGTGCGCAAATGATTACAGAACTTTCATTTCCTTTATTGGCCTTTCCTTCTGGATGAATGATCAAAAACGTGCCTCTTATGTCAGAACATGCTGTCTCTGTGAACTCTCATGCCATAACCATTCATCCAACAGACAGAATGGAAAACAGACAGAGAATCTTCCATAATGCATTTGCTTGGAGAGTTCAAGGGAGATCAGTTTGTTCCAGTCCGGTTCAGATACTGCTCACTTGGTAGTCACAGTTCTCTGCCTTCTCTGAGGTTTTTGTGCATTTCTGACTTATTCAGACGTTGGAAATTTGTGGTTGGGAATACAGAATACGTATGAGGGACAGAATTTAAGGAGACTTCAGAAAAGCTCTTGACTCATCATATCTGTATTAATATGCCAGCTCACCCATTAAAATCCCTGGTTTGATTACAGGCTGTTGAAGCCTCATTTGCCTATCCACATTCCTTTTAGACATAGAAAAAAAACACAATGGAAATTATTTTACACCACTGGAGTTCCTGCTATAATAGCTGTTCTGACCATGCTTTACATGACCAGAAATAACCACAGATCGTTGTTACTATTAAATACCATGCACTTCATTTAATGGCAGCGGTGATGAGGCTCATTGACTTAAGGTATGCCTCATTAAACACTGCCAGCTCTTTTCACTTAAGGCAATCCTCGGGCAACCATTGAAAGATATATACTTACACATATACTTAAAGCACTGTCTGTCTGAATTCTAGATTCTGATAGGCTGGAATCCTTGAATGTACAGGTAATTCCAGTCAGTGAAGACACAGAAACATAAAGAAGCACAAAAACTTGTTGTCATTGCTGTCCTGCAACTTAATGAATAAAACAGCATCACCACTAAAAAGCTGCACTATATTTGTTAGTAAACGTATTTGTCTTTTTTATTTAGTTTGAAAATTGCATTCAGTCACTCATGGTTCATTTTGGAACCTGTATATAACCTGTAATATTTTACATGGTCTTTTCTGATGTAAGCTGCTTCACTAGTACCTAATCAACACTGATTTTGTAACATAATCATTCTGAAACATGAAAATGAACATGAGGAAAATGAAGAATGTGAACATAAAAGCATCACTGCATCCTGTAGAGGTGATGAGATGAGGTGAGAGATAAGTGCAGATCAGCAATATTAGTGGTAATGAACTCCTACAACCCTGCAGGAAAATTCAGATTATTATAGCACTCCATGTGTTTTTCAACACAGCAGTTGTTCCCTTTCAGTCGGTCACTCTCGACGTCACGTCGGAGGACCGACGAAATTGGGATCTCGCTTAGAGGGACCAATCTACTTCGAGTGTAAACTAAACGAGCCAATGCACATTGGCATGCGATTATTGCATCCAGCTGCTGCTGATCACAGCGTGAGTATAAGTAGGCAGCAGGTGCAGCGCATATTCAGCTTTTCGCTGCGGAGCCGAGCGATCACATCGTTCCGCTCCTGACTACTCTACGGAGAGAAGACTGAACGAGTTCAGCACGCTCTTGGAGAGCTCTTCGTGTTGGAGGACGGCGCTTCAGCGGTGGTGGTTTCCCGTGTCGAGTGGGTTGCACACATCAGGCCGCACTACCCCCTGCTATACAAGATATTAGTTAGTCCAAGCTGGTCATTAGCGGGTCAAGTTGACCTACCAAAATATCAGCTACCAAATTATAGTTTGACAGTTTCTGCAGGTTTTCCATTCACAAGATGGACTGGAGTCATATTGATTACTTGTGGATTATTGTGATGTTTTTATCAGCTGTTTGGACTCTCATTCTGACGGCACCCATTCACTACAGAAGATCCATTGGTGAGCAAGTGATGTAACGCTAAATATCTTCAAATCTGTTCTGATGAAGAAAAAAAAAACGAATCTACATCTTAATAGGCCTTTTTCAGTAAACTTTCAATTTTGGGTGAATTATTTTGTTAAGGTGAGCAATGTTTGTTGATCCACTGGCCAATGACAAGCACAACCTGTTTAGACCAGCTAAGATACCAGAATACCATGTTTCAAAATACAAGTTTAAGTGTATCTGGTTGTTTAAATCCAGTTCTAGTCCTATCCTAACAGCAAAATGAGCAAACTCATTATGCCACAAGATTATGCCATTAAGTGGACATTCATAAATGGAACAAGCAACTTTTAGCTTTTTTTCAAGTAATCTCTTTTGTAACCACAATGCTATAAGTGCAGGAAGAGAATTCAAGAGTCAGACATCAATTCAGAGCAGCATGAATAACCAAGACTGTGATCATTCTTAACAAAGCATATCCGTCTGCCATTCTGAGCTGAGAACCAACGATAAAAATGATCATAAATGAAGAAATCCTTCACCGTACAGCTGGAAATATTTTTTCCCCCCTTTGATAGCTATGAATATTGGCTTGACTAGCCAGAGAAAATACAATGCAAACACAGGGAAGGATCCAATCTGGTGGGCTATTGTCACGCAAATATCATCTTCATAGCGAGCCAGATGTACACGTAAGCATAAGGTGCTTTTTCACAGCCCACCTACACAACATAGCCCACCAGCAGGAAGAGGGCAAACTGGTCGCTTACTAACTGCTGGCAAAAAAAACAGGGTGACCAGTGGCATATTCTAATAATACATGAGGGTTTTATATAAGGATTAATTCCCATGATGCCTTGGGGATTTGATGCACATAATTAAAGTATTACCAAAAAGGATTTGAGGCTTCAGAGACTTGTTAACATGCCTGGACGTCATACCTGCCTACTGAGATCTATGGCAGGCCCAAATCAAAGGTTTGCAAAGTTTGAAAATAGTAGGCAGTATCCAGTATATACTGTGAAGTGTGCACTAAGTAGCAAGTGTTTGAAGTGGTTGGGGGCTCCCCATCAGACTGAAAAGCAGTAAGAGCTTTTAGCAGCTGTCGATGAATTCTGATCGCTGTACTACGATGAAATATGAATTAAGACAGAGTAATTCAAGGCTGTTAATTAGCTAGAGCGCTTGACTAAATCAGAGAGGTTCAGAGACCAGCAGAGCAGAGAGGCCAGTGAGGCTGAGCACTGGTGAGCTTGCTGCTTCTGAGATATAAAAATACTCACTTTTACTAACTAGAATAGGCCTACATCAATCAGGAGAACTCCTAAAAATGTCTATTATACTCTGATTTTGACTACTCTAGAGCAATTGCTGTATTTCTTGATCGGGTAGGTGATTAAATCAGAAAGTATTCATTAAATAAACATAAAAACAAATCTGGTCAATAACAATATCCAAACACTATCTGTCCTAGTGGATCTGACAACACACCTCTTCTGGGAAAGCTAACTAGCCTTTTTGTATTAACTTAGACATGATATTCAGATTTTTTTTAATGAAAATATTAAAAACTGAAAGGTTTAAATGAAATAAAAATACTGAAAAATGTAAAATATACAGAATGATTAATATACCCTACCGATCAAACGTTTGGGGTCAGGAATTTGTTTTTGTTTTTGAAAGAAATCTCTTATCACTTAATCACAAATACAGTAATATTGTGAAATATTACTACAATTTAAAAGAACTGTTTTCTATTTGAATATATGTTAAAATGTAATTTATGCATTCAGCAAAGCTGAATTTTCAGCAGTCCTGACAGTTTTGAATGGTAGTGAATATCAATATAGCTAATTACTGAAAATGATATTCATCAGACCTTTTATCTGCTCAGAATCTCTTATTTTAATCCAACCAAAAATTCACTCCCTCTTTTTAATTGAACATGATAAACGTTTGCTTTGATTCTGAAACAAGCCTCTCATCAGGCATTCCAGTACAGCTTCCATGGCTTACTAGAAACCTTTTGCCAACCATATTTAATCACTAGATATAAATGCACAGTTGATCCAGGTGTTACTTAATAATGCTAAAGGTAAATCAACCGTTTCCCTATCCTTGTTTTAAAAAAAGCAGCAGAACAGGTGCACAAACGAAAGTTTTACAGCATTAGCAACAATAATAACTAAAGAGGTCGGTTAAATAACACAAAGGACATTCTCTCTTTTTTTTTTTAAAACAAGCTCTTTCTCGTTTCCTCTCTGATTGTAAAGTGACTGAAACCCACTTAATACCATGTGGCTACGTTTTATATAACCATGATAGAAATTATACTCAAATGTGCACATTATATCAATCAAACCAGTATTTTCCAGCATTTAGTACTAATCGTTTTTGCCCATTGAGCCCTGATCCCTCAATCTCAGCACCTGCTCATTCTCGGTGAAGACCCGGCGACCGAAGCTCCAGATGATGTTGGGGGTGGGGTCACCCGTGGCCTCACAAGTTAGTGTGATCTGCTCCTCCAATTCAGACGTTGTCTGGTTTTCTAGGAACGTGATCTTGGGTTGTACTGTTGACACATAAACAAGTACTCAAAAAACAGCCTACAAACACACTCCTCAGAGAAATGAAATAATGATTTTCCTCTATGCAATTACTGAGCCTTTACAATGGTCGTAATACCAAAACAGTGCTCTTAAGTTGATGAGACGAGAGTGCCTCACTGGCTGGGTGCATTCAATATTTAATCAACACATTGTTATATTTTATAATTCAAAAGAGGAACTTTGTTTAATGGATGAAATGGAGTAGTACTTTGATTCACTTTTATTTGCCTCAGCTCTAATCTAAGTGCTCTGAAGCCGTGCCGGAGAATGTGGCTAGAGAAAATGTATGCATGATGAGAAATAAAAATATTGTGATTGTGTTTTGAACTGCTACAAACATTTAAAATATTCATGCAAACTTAATAACAATGATAAAGAACAAAAGCACAGAATGGCACCGACACAGCAGCGCTCAGGATAAAGCGTGTATTTAAACTATAAACTAGGAACCAACACTTTTTGTGTTCACATTATGTCTGTTACTTTTCCCATGCTCTCTTTTCAATAGTGATAGTTACTCTTTAGGAGTATTCACATTTGTTCTTATAAAGAGAACAATTTGGATCACTTTCAGTTGACAAAAAATTAAGAAGAACTAAGTTCTCTTTTGCCCAATTCGAATGGTAATTATTTCTCATAGGGGTTAAAAAGGTTAGTCTGTTAAATCCCCAGATGAATTACCTACTGTTTTTTTGACAAACACCAAACATTTAATAGGTGTCTGAATCCACATATCTGAGTTTATGAGACAAAATCTATTCAAAATTCACCATTTAAATCCTTTTTGACCACTGCCGAATACTGTATGGTAACTGTTGCACTTTGCTGTAATTTGCATGCATATTTATTGCTGAGGTCCTGGAAAGTATTTACAATAACAATATTTCATAGCTGCTCCACCACAGCGAGTGGGAGCTGTTAAGAACAAACAGACGAAAGAGAAGAAAAGCATGTAAATATTTGAAATGGGTCATTATTATGCAACAGGTATGCAAAATAATTTCAAAATATGTATTATATACAATTATATGGATAAGTATATCGCGTATAGTTATACACAATTATATAGCACGTCTATTTTCCTGTTTTTAAACAAGAGATTTAAATAAACAAATAATAAATAGGATAATATATTAAAAATATGCTTGGAATAATACAAATACATTTTACATAATAATAAGAATAAATTTGTAAATAAAAAACATTTTATTCAATAAAATGCAGGATGTATTCTGGGGTTGTAAGCGTAATAAATCACGATGAATTTTATCACTGAGGTGTCATGTAAATGTATTTTTACAGACGTCCACATAAGAAACAATTTCCGTCCGAATAGGGCTTTTGTATTCACATCATTCCCGAAACTAAAAGATTTTCCTCTTTAGTTGTGATAGGGCCCTCTCATTTACATATTTCATTATATATTTAATTTATCTTTTTTTGGAAACCAATTTTATATCATAAAATTTCATTTTTGTATATATGCTAAACATATAGCTATATATTTAACTTCATATATTTCATTTTCACAGTTTCACAAAACCTGTGTCATTTCATTACATTTGATTAGCATAGTAACTTATAGAGCCCTTTGCATGCAGAGTGTAGTAGATGACATAACAGATGACACAACTTTGAAACAAGCAGTGCGTGGAGTTTATACTCATTTAATAATATTGCAACATTTCACGGCTTAATAATCGCATAAGGCAACAACACGATTTTGATTTTAAACTGATAAATTGTATGATCCTCATGGAAAGGACATTTTCCTGGTAACTCATATGTAAACACTTGTTTTCAGTTCAGCTCCAATGACAGAATTCTTCAGCTTACCAAACACATTGAGTGAGACTTCCTCGCTCCTCTCTCCGGCCTTATTTCTGGCGATGCACTGGTAATCTCCTTCATCAAGCTTCGTGACATCTTTGATGGTCAACTCCGACCCATCTTCATTCAGACTATACTTTCCATCTGATTCCAGCACGATATTAGCTCTGCGGGCCAGACAGAGAGTGAGAGACAGAACGAAAGAAAGGATAGGTTTACTGTTTGGCCTTGGAGCTGTTACTTGCTCAGCAAAGTCATGAATACATGATGCCTCATCTCCACATACACCAGAAAATACAGAGAGAAAGTGTGCCTGCCCATGAAATGGATTCTTCATCCTGCAGTGCACAGCTTCTCATGATGCAGATAGTCTAGGAAGAAGCTGGAGAAAAATAAAAGCGGATCTGCTTTGTCATCTTCGGCTTCTTGACATGTTCCTGTCTCAGAGCCAATATAAAAGCTGTAAATAATGTCTGAATGCCATAAACATCAAGCTGATGGGCTTTTTTATTTGGAAAAATGCTGTGCGCTGTGTTTCCCTGTGACACTAAATCAGTCATGCAAAGTTTGGATCCAAATACCTGCTATTTTGCTTGTAACAGCAGCAATTGAGCGACATTTTCAAATGGCCCCCGAGTGACAGCTTTGTCAGTGAAGGAGGGAAATAAATGAGGTTGTGGCGAGCGCTCTTATCCCTCCTTCTCACGAGGCAACGCAATTCACGCCAGTCACGACTTGGTTAAAGAAGTCACTGGAGTTTTGAGGAAAAGCTATGCTGAAAGCTGCAAGCTGCCTTAGCTGCCACGGCTAACGGCAGCTGAAAGAATAAAACGGCGCCTCTGCCATTCACAGCACTTTTAGTTTACAAGCTTCAATAACTCTGATCCCTCTCCCTCCCTGGATTCGGGGAAAAGCTTAGCAATACCCTACAGAGATTTGGCTGAACTTTTTCGGTGCTGTTTTGGCACAGACAGATAAAGGGCCACTAAAAAGAGCGGGTAATGAATGATACGTACCGTGCCCACGTGACGGTGGGTTCTGGGTAGCCATCTGTGTAACAGGCCAATGTCACGGCCTGGTTGATGTCTGCAGTGGCATTAAGCTCAGTGTAGCGGGTCCTGATACTTGGCAGAACTGGGAGAAGGAGAGAAAGGCGAAAAGAACATTGACTCTTTAAAGGGACAGACGACCCAAAAATGACAATACGACTCTTTCTCACTTCGTTCCGAAATCTGTATGCTGTTATTTTATTCTGTGGAACTCATTTCCATTTAATGACAGTTCATAGTAACCATGCGCTCCATAAAAGAAGCACATAAAAACATTATAAAAGTAGTTTATAAAAGCCAGTCATCACTGAATAACATTGCAAAAGATTGGTCTGTTCCTCGCATAAAGTTATCGAATGAACTGTTGTATTATGGAAAAAAAAACACTTTGAATATTTCTGAAACATTCTTCTTTTATGTTCCCTAGACAAAATAACAGTATAAGGGTTTGGAAAGACTTTAATAATTACAGAATATTCTTTTTGAGAGAAAATATTTTATTACATACTGTAGCTAAAACACAGAGCCAAACATTTTTTGTTTTGTTTTCTAGTATATCTAAAAATAATAATAAAATATGTAACTAATCTAAATTCATCTACTTAAATCTCACAAAATCTTTGGTTTATGCTTAAAATGTCATTTAAAAAGGTTATATAAACAGATTTTTTATTTTTTATGAATTATTATTATTTAGTAGATTTAAAGAATTAATAACATGCAATTTACATCTCAAGCAAATTTAACTTGTTTTTACAAAAAAAAATAACGAGACTTGTTTTTCACTGAATAATTTTTTTTTATAATATGCACTGCTTTTAAAGCCAGACTGTTTAATTCTGTAGAGACACTGGTGTAGATGTGTATAAACTCTCTGCTCCTGTGTCTCTGTGAGGAAACAAAGCAGGTGGCTCTGAGATTGAGTCCTCACCATTGACAATGACCTTGATGACCCTGAGGTCGATTTCTCCCCGGGCCATGATGCGGCCCTCGCAGGTGTAGTCACCCTCATCGGTTTTTTTGATGCCACGGATCTGGAGGTGGTTGTTGCTTAAGACCTTGAAACGGACTGTAGGTGTGAGATAGAAACAGAGAGAGGGGGAAAAAAATGAAAAGAAGCAAAATGAGACAGTAATTACTCTTGAGTAAGATAAGGAGACCATGTTAACGAGCCTCTCATTACATGCTGGGCAGCAAAATGACTCACTGCACATTTTCTCCCGGTATAAAATCATCTTTATGGGCTTTTCTGCAGTGCGATTGGTATTCAAGACTAACAGTAAAGGTGCATATAATATTTCAACTCCGTGGAGACAGTAAAATAGTACTGATATATTAAAATGATGAAAAAGGCAAATTCAGCAAGATAAAGCACAGCTTTCCGGCTGTGTTGGTAATGCAATACTTGCTTACTACTTAGTGCACACTTCACAGTATATACTGGATATGCCTACTTTTTTTTATAGAATCCTGCAGCAATAATAAGAGTAGTATGTAACATTGACAGAGTGTTTTGTGTTGAGCTTCATCCGAACTCATCAAAAAAGAGCACAGCAGAGGTTAACGAGAGAAATGTGGAAAATGTGTTATTTACATAAGAGCAGTTTGGTTTTCAAGCTTCGCTACAATTAGTGGTTTTGCAGTGAAAATTTCATCTAGCAGCGGCCTGTGAGTTCACGTCTCACAGCAGAGAGCTGCGGTCACCGTTTCTTCCAGCGGTCTCTGAGGGAGGAGCCCTCTGAGGTTAAAACAGTTCCATCCAAATGAGGCTTGAACTGACAAACAAAACAGTGCAGATGAAAACAGCATGAAACTTTAAGTTCTCACAATAAAAATTCAGGTCCTTATTGTTGCTGTTTTCATTGTCACAGTGCAAGAGAGCTTACTAACTGAAAGAGGGGATGATTTTGACAGGAAATATGGGAGAAAAGTATGGGAGATATTTGAAAACGAGAGAAGATGTGTAGAACAGAAATAAGAGTGTGGCATAGAGGGAATAAAATAAAATGACTGAAAGAGATCTGGTTGTGGTATTGTACCATCAGTCTCAGGCTGGATTCTGGTCTTTTTAAACTTCCAGATGATTGTTGGGGGCGGCGAGCTGATGACGTCACAGATGATGTCAGCGTCATCCCCCTCGTTGAACTCTTGAGGCGATGGAGCATTTTGGAAAGTGAGTTTCTCTGAAAAAGACATTTGAAATGCCATTTACAATGCACAGTTGTACCACTGCTGCAAAAATCCTTTTCGTACTCTGCATTTTTGTCTGGTATTCCAGTAAAAGCTTGAGAAGCAATGTTGCATAAGATATTAAGGAATGTTTTGAGAAATAAAATATGTAAACACACTTAAAAGAATATATTACAGTTTATATACACGGTATATATTTGTAGTTAAATATATATGATTAAAATGATTTTATACAGTACACACATATA